TGTCTAATACTCCCCCTTGCAAGCTCACACTGTATGTGGCATCACTTTCCGGACTGCAGTGACATCCTAGGCCTTCTCTTTCCTACTCTTCGCAGTTTGATTAAGGATCCTTTTATAAAAAGCAGTTGGAATCCACGTCTGTTTTTGTTATCCTTGTAACTAGGGTGATCTCACTTAGGGACGCTTAACTTTGTCCAACAGTTTGGGTTTTTTTACACCAGACTTGCCAAAAGTCTGCGACCCCTTGCTGTCTAGCTGAGGGTACCTTATCTGCTTGCGTAGTTGCGCTTTAGATGGTTGTGACTATCGCCCTATTTTCTTGTCACCTACATTCATAGGCCTTTGTCTAACTGACCACTTTGTGCACTTGTTCGTAGTTCGTCTTAGAAATGAACATTAAGTACGTGAGACAGCGCCGGAAAACAAAATGAATGTGCAGTAAATAAGTTTAGTATATTGATGTCTCCCGAAAAGTTAGAGTTTGATAGAAAATATATTAAGATATAATTATATAAAGTGGGCGTCAAATAAGAAAGTGTTCAACAATATGGCTTGAACATCCTTGAAAAAAGATGTAATTGTAGTAATTGCCAATAGCAGAATGCAAACTCCATCTTGTGTTTGGGTTCACCATTTGGGACAGTTGTTAACTGGTTTTTACTAAGTTGACTGGAAATTGTGTAAATATTCACTTCACTTAAAAAAGCATAATTATCAAGCAGCATTGATGTTGAAAATTCTGTTAATTCCAGAGCCCAGTGTAGAACACTGCGTTCTAGTCATTAACTTACATTGAGTGTCTTCCATGTGCCTGATACTGTGCTGAACAAGACAGACTCAGTCCCTTGGAAAGTTTATACATTTTTACATAAAGTTGCAATTTTATACTTCCAGATATTGTTTTGACTATTTTTAATTTTATTTATTTATTTATTTATTTATTTTGAGATTAGAGTCTCAAGTTGTGGCCTTGAGTCAAGTACCTTGGCAGCACAGCTCACAGCAACCTCCAACTCTTGGGCTTAGGCCAGTGGTTCTCAACCTTCCTAATGCTGCCACCCTTTAATACAGTTCCTGGGGGTTGCGACCCATAGGTTGAGAACCACCAGGCAGCGATTCTCCTGCCTCAGCCTCCTGAGTAGCTGGGACTACAGGCGCCCACCACAATGCCCACCTATTTTCTTCATGCAGTTGTCATTGTTGTTTTAGCTGGTCCAGGCTGGGTTTGAACCGCCAGGCTGGGTATATGTGGCCGTCACCCTACTGACTGAGTGCCGCCTATTTTGACTTTTTTTTTTTAAGTCTTTTTTTTTTTTTGAGACACAGTCTTGCTTATTAACCCTCGGTAGAGTGTGTGGCATCACAGCTCTCAGCAACCTCCAAATCCTTGGGCTTAGGCGATTCTCTTGCCTCAGCCTCCAGAATAGCTGGGAATATAGGTGCCTGCCATAACGCCTGGCTATTTTATTTTGTTGTTGTTGCAGTTTTGCTGGGGCTGGGTTTGAACACACACCACCCTCGGTATATGGGGCCAGCACTTTACCCACTGAGCCACAGGCACCGCCCTAAAAAGCCTTTTAAAGCAAAGCAGTTTTTAGTATAAACAACTTTTTTTTCCATTTAATACTTATTTTTAATTAAGGGAAAATACTAAATTAATAAGACATGTTGCCTACATTAGAGAGGTTCATTTGTAAAACCCATTTTAGATATTATTTTCTTTTCTCATATAAGTCATTTGAAATTACTGGTTTGGAAGATAAGTTCTTCTCAGTGCTTGATCTAATTATATTTACTCAGATTCTCTTACTGGGAACTTAACTCTTTAGTCTCTTATAAATTTAATAAATATCTTGAAATCTTAGAATATTTCCTCTTTAAGGCTTCATTCCTCAGAAAGGTGGGTAGCTAATTTCATTCTTAAATTTTTGGCATTGTTAAATCTTAGATGCTACCCAAGATTTTAGTTAAAGATCCTGATTTTTCTCAAGAGAACAATGTTTCTTGTGTTTTGTTTGTGTTTGAGGAAAGCTAACATCAATAGAGATCTTACGGAGTAGAGTCATAATTAATTGATATTAAATATAGCTTGATTTCAGCTGGATAGATGAAGAAGAATACAGGAAGCTTACAATTAAAATTTTCAACTTTCTCTCTTAATGGTCCATGCCCATCATCTGTTTGGTTTATAACTTTTTTCAGCTAATGCTAATCTTAAATTTTAAAATCCAAGTTCTTAGAAATAGTATTGACAATGTGTGTAGATGTGTATTTGATTTTATTTTTATTATTTTTTGCTTGTTTTATGTAGAACAACAGTACTTTGAGATAGAGAAGAGACTGTCCCATAGTCAGGAGAGACTTGTGAATGAAACCCGAGAATGCCAGAGCTTGCGACTTGAGCTAGAGAAACTCAGTAAGTATTTAATCACTTCTTTATAATATTCCTGGAGTATTGAGTTTTTCATACACTATTTTGTATGCCTTGAAATCAACTGCTTACTATTTATGAAAGTACTGATTAAGCATCATTGTTTGATTTTTTTTTTTTTTTTTTTTTTTTACTCAGTAAAAAAAAGACTTTGTAAGAGGATATGGCTTAGTGGTCAGGAGGCCTGGGTTCTAATTCTGACTTTACTATTAAAAGGTTTGCCATGTGTAAATCACTGTGTAAATGACTGTTTGTAAGATGGTTAGATCCAGGGCCATGCCTGTGGCTCAGTGAGTAGGGTACTGGCCCCATATACCGAGGGTGGTGGGTTCAAACTCAGCCCCTGCTGAACTGCAACAAAAAAATAGCTGGGCATTGTGGCGGGCACCTGTAGTCCCAGCTACTCGGGAGGCTGAGGCAAGAGAATCGCTTAAGCCCAAGAGCTGGAGGCAACCAAGGGCAACAAAGTGAGACTCTATCTCTTAAAAAAAAAAAAAATACTTAGATCCACATGTCTGTCTACTTACAGCTTTGCATATCAAGTGATATTTTTTAAAACCTTTTGAGGAAACTAAAGCATTATGCAGCTGGTAAAATAATTTAAAGAGAGTGACGTTTTTATGGTAAAGATTAAATACCATTGATTTCATTATATATTTTTTAACTCTTTAGTCTCATAAATTTAATAAATATCTTGGAATCTTAGAATATTTCCTCTTTAAGGCTTCATTCCTCAGAAAGGTGGGTAGCTAATTTCATTCTAAGTTTTTGGCATTGTTAAATCTTAGATGCTACCCAAGATTTTAGTTAAAGATCCTGATTTTTCTCAAGAGAACAATGTTTCTTATGCTTTGCTTGTGTTTGAGGAAAGCTAACATCAGTAGAGATCTTACGGAGTAGAGTTGTAATTAATTGATATTAAATATAGCTTGATTTCAGCTGGATAGATGAAGAAGAACACAGGAAGCTCACAATTAAAATTTTCAACTTTCTCCCTTAATGGTCCATGCCCATCATCTATTTGGTTTATAACTTTTTCAGCTACTTTTGGCACCCACACTTTTAAAACATGATGTATATGAATGATGGTATGTACTTATGAGTGATAAAACATAAGTAGGTAGATCTGGTTCATTATTTACATAGTTTTTCCTTAGCCTAATAAAAAGATCTGTTCAGTGATGGTGCTGAGGACTTTCAGAAAAATGGTATGATTACAACTTCTTCTGTGAGGTGCAGGAGAGGGAGAAGAAGATAGGGCTAAACCCAGATAAACATCAAATGCCTTCCCGGAGTGTACAGCTAATGTGTGTGCATGCGTTTTTGTTTGTTTGTTTGTTTGTTTTGTATTCTAAATCTGCATGTCTGGAAAGCAGTAGTCCACATTAAAACAAAACAGAAAATCTAGACTAATTTAGCTGGGGCTATTTTCTTTTAATGATCCTCTTACTTAAATAGAAGACTGGAATTAGTAATAATGTATTTGTTCATTAAATTGCCGGCACATATAATAAATGTTTTAGTGGAATAAAATTACAAAAAGTAAATTCTTTCTAGTTATCTACGTGCATTTAGAAGAGTAACTATGTATAAGGCAAGACAGCCCATTTTGAGTAGAGACTGAGGCATTAATAGAGTATCAAGCATACTTTTTTCTTCCATGTTAAAGGCTCTCTTTAGAGTGAAGAATGAGTGGATTTATAAACATCCAGTCCTGTGATTTGTTGTTACATTTCTATTTTATGTAGTTTAAATGTTATTTTCTCTCATAATCTTTTTTTATTCAGTTTTCTTATGTCTAAATACAGTTCACTGTTTTTATGATTTATGTTGATTTAGAAGATGTCATTGAAATATCAGAAAATATACTTCCTATAAATGTTGCCTAGAATTTTACACTTGATCTTGGAACCAGGATAGCATATTTAAAATTTTGGTCTAAAATACAGAAATTTGGATGTGTTTATAACTTGGGAATGTGATGTACAAATCAGTCCTTCTGGGCTTCAGTTTTCTTCATTTTTAAAATGTGTAAGAGTGACAATTGAATAAAAATATTCATTGCAAGTTTTAGGCTAATGTGTGTATGTTCATAAAATTCATTTTATCCAGGCACTCAGCTGAAGGCTGTAACTGAGAAAAACAAAGAACTTGAAATTGCTCAGGATCGCAATGTTGCCATTCAGGTAAAATTTCTTCTTATGAGTAAAAGTAATGGTAAGCAAGATGCTTGAGGAAATTTTCTATTCTGATTGTGTTTATCAGTTTTTAGTCAAAGGGAAGATGAAACAGATACTGTATCAACAAAAACATATATACATAAGTTTTTCAGTTGGATCCATATATGTTTTATTGATAGAGTGGATATTCCTTTTACCGAATATACACTATCCAGTGAGTGCTTACAACTATAAAGGCCTTAGACATTCCAAGTATTTTATGTTGTTTTTCATTTGTTTGTGTTTGAGACAGAATCTCTCTCTACCCAAAGTGCTGTGGCATCCTACCTTACAGCACCTTCCAATTCTTGGGCTCAAGCAAGATCTCCTTGCCTCAGCCTTCCACATAGTTAAGACTATAAGCACCCATCACAATGCCTGGTTAACTTTCCTATTTTTAGTAGAGATGGAGTCTTGCTCTTGCTCAGGCTGGTCTTGAACTTCTGAGCTCAGGCAATCCACCTGCCTCAGCCTCCCAGAGTGCTAAGGTTACAGGTGAGAGCCACAGTGCCCAGTCCTATACCAAGCCCTGTGATTTAGGGATTTGAGTGAATCCATGTTGATGATCATTTCCTTGGGACAATGACAAGAATAAAGATTAAATAGATTAAATATGATCATAAGGAGTGCTGACCAGTTTTTTTAATAAAGTCATACCTAGTGACTCTTTAACCAGGTAGAACTTTAGATTTTTGCCATTGCTTTTATAAAATTTCAAGTTAAAGGGTAATTTCTTCAAATTTCCAAAAGAAAAAATTCTATGCAGAGAATCTAAATAGGATCAAAAATGCTCCATAATATACCTAGAAATAACTTTACAAAAATGTAAAGCATTTATATGAGGAAACACTCAAGAAAACTCAATTATTTTACGAAAACTATACAAATACACCTTTATAGAGAGAGATAAAGCATTTTTGTGGATGGGAAGATTTTCTAAATTAATGTGTTGCTTTGAGCATTTGTCTCTTAAATCCAAGTAAGATAGATTGAAACTTGTTGATGTACCTCGAACAGTGACTGCGGGGTGGGGGATTGTTATGGCTAGGATAATTCTGAGAAAGATGTATCAATTTAAAAGTACTTGCATAGTCACATATCAAAATGTTTTCATAATGCTGTGGTTATTAAAACATTGCAATGCTGATATAAGAATCAATATATAGAACAGAAAAACAGTTCAGAAATAAAACCCAAGACAAAAGATCTTTACCAGTTGGGGAGAGTAGCTATCACAAAATCTTTATAAATCTGGTAAAAAGCTATGAATGTACATGTGCACATTCATATAAAATTTTGGGAGGAAAAAAAACCACTATGAAGAATTTAATAGAATTTTAATAAATTCTATTAAAGTAATACAATTTATTTAATGGCTGAAAAAAGAAACTGTAAGCTTTTCCAGTAAGATCCAGTGTAAGGCAGGCATGCCCACTCTCATCACTTCTATTCAGTATAGTACTAGAAGTAATAGCAAGAGCAGTCAGACAAGATAAAGAGATACAAGGCATCCACACTAAGAAAGAAGAAATAAAATTTTCTCTAATCACAGATGATATGATTTTATATGTAGAAAAACCAAGGATTTCACATACCAAAAAAAAAAAAACTTAGAACGAATAAATGAATTTAGTACATTTGCAGGATTCAAAATCAACATTCAGAAATCAATAGCTTTTCTACACGCATATAATGATCTAGCTGAAAACCATCAAGAAAACAATCTTATTTATAGCAGCATCAAAAGAATAACAATAATAATAAAATACTTAGGAGTAAATTTAACCAAGGAAGTGAAAGATTTATACATTAAAAATGATAAAACGTTGAAACAAATTTAAGATGCAAATAAGTGGAAAGATATTCCGTCCTCCTGGATCAGAAAAGTTAATACTATTAAAATGTCCATACTACCCAAAGCAGAATGCAGATTCATCCCAATGCTATTAAAATTCCAATGTCATTCTTCACACTAATTGAAAAAAATCCTGAAACTCCTGTGGAATCAATAAAAAGCCCTGAATAACCAAAGCATTACTGAAAAAGAAAATGGAAGTTAGAGGCATCACACTCCCTGATATCATATTCTCTTCTTCTCATGGCTGTGCAAAAATATATATATATACATATATATATACACACACACACACACACTCACTCAACTATAGTCATCAAAACAGTATAGTACTGGCATAAAGACAAAAACATAAACCAGTGGAATAGAATAAAGAGCCCAGAAATCAAACACACATAGTCAACTAATTTTGACAAGAGCAGCAAGAAAACACAATAGGGAAAGGACCCTCTCTGAAATAAACGGTGATGGGAAATTAGATTTTAACACAAAAGGAAATTGGACCTTTATTTTACTTATGCACAAAACTCAACACAAAATGAATAAAAGACTTTAAGTGTAAGACATGATACCATGAGACTCATAGAAGAGATCATAGGAGAAGAGGTCCTTAACATTGGCCTTGGTAATGATTTTTTACATACCACACCAACAACTCAAGCTGGAAAAGGAGACGGTACTACATAAAACTAAAAATCATCTGCATGGCAAATGAAACAATCAACAAAGTGAAAAGTCATCCTAAGAATGGGAGATTTGCAAAACCACATGTTTAATAAGAGATCTAAAAACACCTTCTCAGAAGGACTTGAACACACATTTCTCCAAATAAGACATGAAAATGGCCAAGAGATAAATGAAAAGGTGCTCAGCATCACTCATCATCAGGGAACTGCAAATTGAAACCACTATAAGATACTGTCTCACATAACTTTAGGATGGCTGTTAGCAAATAGAAATAAATGTTGATAAGGATGTGTAGAAAGGGGAACCTTTCTGTACACAGCTGGTGGGAATGTAATTTGGTGCAGCCATTATGGAAATCAGTATGGAGGGGCCTTAAAAATATATAATATTAGAACTTATATGACCCACCAATCCTTCTTCTGGATATATACCCACAGGAGATGGAATCACTTCATCAAGATACTCAGACTCCCATGTTCATTTCATCATTATTCATAATAGCTAAGATATAGAAACAAACTAAGTACTTTTCATGAATGAATGGGTAAAGAAAATGAATGTGGGGCAGGGATACAATACAACCTCCAAAAGTTGACCCCCCAAAGGACTGGAGGTTGTCAACATAAAGAACTAAGCCTGCTGTACTGACACATATGTGTTCTTCACTTGCATAGCTTTTTATTAGAGGATGTTATATGAAATCATACATAAAACAGTAAAATCACACACTATTGTGCAAAATGAGAACATTTACTATTTTCTCAGGATTTAATCTTTTTTTTTCCTCAAAAAAAAAAAAAAAAAAAGTCAGTCTTGATCTGTTTCTTATTACAAATGTAAGTGGAGAAAGCACTCAATCCTGGATATACCACTCAGCATACCTGGGCATTTTTCCATAGCAGATGACTTCAACTGCATTATCAGATGTCTGACATCTCTTCATTTGGAGTCTGCAATTTCTGTGTCATCCTCACTAGCTTCTTCCACTTCATCAGCTGCTTCATGTTATTTCTATGTTGATCTGTACTTTGTTTGACATGGTTTGAAAGATTGCTTCTGGGACAAGCTCGTTATAGGTTGCTACTTCATCATCCATTGCAACAAACCTTTAAAATCTGCTCCTCTAAATTTTGCCATGGGAAATAGATTGTCTAATGGGGCCAAACCATCATGCTCTTGGGGTGTGACAGATCCAGCTTTCTCAAAGTCTCCACTTGTCAGGGAAGTGTAAAATACAGTCTGTAAAATTTTTCAGTAATTATAGGATACACCTACAATTCAGACCAGTCCTTCATATTGAAAAAAATTTTCCATGACTTGTGATAAATTATAATGTTAGGCCTAATCCAACACGTAATAATAAAATATGAAAAAAGAACTTACAATAAAACAAAAACAATATAACTAAGGAGCAAAGCCCACACCTTTGACCCCTTGGTGTACATTGCACTCAACTGGTCAAGTTGTAGAGGGTAAATTAATATTGTCATAATCCAGGAGGTCAGGATATACCTTACAGGGGTGGTCAGTATACAGGGTGGCCATAAAGTTCATGTGTAATTTAAATTGCACACGAACTTTATGGCTCCCTGTATAGAGGTCAATCTTTCATTGGGTACACATGGTACAGGTTCAGTATATGAAAATAAGGTCAGCTTAAGGAGGTGGTTAGCTATACATATTCTACTGGATATGTGTGTGTGTGTGTATATATATATATATAAACAAATATTATTCAGCCTTTAAAAAGAAGGATGTCCTGCCATGAGCCCTAACATAGACCTGAAGAACATTATACTAAGTAAAATAAACCAGACACAGAAAGAGAAATTTTGAAAGATCTACTTGTATGTGGAATATATAAAAAGGTCAAATATACAGAGAGAAAAGAACAGTGATTGGTGGGGATGAATGGGGAGAAGGAAGTTAAAGGATACAAGGTAGTGAGTACATAGGATAAACAAGTCTACACATCTAGTGCACTTGAGGACTATAGTTAATAAAACTGTTTTAGGAGGACCAGGCATGGTGGCTCACGCCTATTATCCTAGCACTCTGGGAGGCCGATGTGGGCAAATTGCTTGACCTTACGAGTTCAGGACCAGCCTGAGCAAGAGTGAGAGACCCCATTTCCAAAAGTAGCTGGAGATTGTGGCAGGCGCCTGTAGTCACAGTTACTCACTCTGGAGGCTGAAGCAAGAGGCTCACTTGAGCCCAAGCGTTTAAGGTTGCCGTGAGCTACAATGCCAAGCCATAGCACTGTACTGAGGGCAACAAAATGAGACTTAATCTGAAAAAAAAAAAAAAAAAAAGTGTTAGGGATTTTTGTTCAAATAAGTAGAACAAGCTGCTTTTTTTCCAAAACAATAGCTGTGAGGTGATAGATATGTTGATTTACTTCATTGTAATTACCATCTTTCTGTATATATTCCATAACATCATGTTGTAAACCTTAAATATATGCAATAAAATTTATCTTTAAAAATCATTTCTAAACATAAAACAGTTTTAAAAACTTGAAGTGGTGCTTGGTGCCCGTAGCTCACTGAGGCTGGTGGGTTTGAACCTTGTCCCAGCCTGATAAACAACAGTGACAACTGCAACAACAAAAAAAATTAGCGGGGCGTTGTGGCTGGCCCCTGAAGTTACAGCTATGTGGGAAGCTGAGGCAAGAGAATCACTTAAGCCCAGAAGTTGGAGGTTGCTGTAAGCTATGGCACTCTACCGAGAGCGACATAGTGAAACTCTGTCTCAAAAAAAAAAAAAACAAAAAAACTTAAAATGGGAGTGATAGACTAGATTCAGTATAAATATAAATACAAAAATCTCTACATAAACTAAAATGCCAATAAATGATTAAAAGGTATTTTTTCAGTAAAACTATTTAAACTGTTTTAGGAGGACCAGGCATGGTGGCTCAAATAGTGTTTATGTCCCTATTACATGACTACTTTAAATTTTAAGGAAATCATTCAAGGGAGTTAAGGGCAAAGGAAGTTTTTTTAAAAATCAAAGAGGAAGCTATACAAATGTCCAATGGTAATATGAAATGTTTCTCTACTTGTAATCAGAAAAATGCAGATAAAACAATAATGAGGTAATTATTTTTCACACACACCGCATGTTAGCATCTCTCTCTCTCTCTCTCTCTCTGAATAATTTCTGTCATGGGTGGCTTGATATTAGTAGTTACAACTCCAAGAAAAGCTTGTAAACTGTTAACATTTTGCTACAAAGCAGTTTGACAGAATATTAAGGGTTCTAAGTAATTTAATTTCTGGTGATCTTTCTTGAGAAATAATTTGAACTAAGGTATACAAATGCCATATATTCCTCAAACTATATTTTGAAATAATACAGAATTATATTACAAAAAATTAGAAGTATATTAAATGTCCTACAAATGCTTATTTAAGTAATTAGGATACTTCCATGGGATACAAAGGGACATGGGAAAGATTGTTAGAAGCTTAATAAAAATGTTCTAAAAATCCAATATATGAATAGAAATGTTGAGTAGTTTTAAATTTGTTGATTTATAAATTACAATGGAAAGAGAGGGACTTTTAAACCATAGCTAATGTTAACTAAAGTAGCAGTTCTGTGTTTAATTTTCTATATTGTCCAAGTTGGTTTTCTTAATTCAAATTTATCACTTCTTTATATGACAGAGCCAATATACAAGAACAAAGGAAGAACTAGAAGCTGAGAAAAGAGACTTAATTCGAACCAATGAAAGACTGTCTCAAGAACTTGAATATTTAACAGGTATGAAGCAGTACTTTAGCTTTTATAATAACTCCATTCCTTCCTTTTTCTTCTAATGGTGCTAGGTCAATCCCTAGTCTTACTTCTGCTGCTGACATTTCTTTGGTATGGCTAGGTAGAGAGTATGATGTAATGTCCAATTCTTTCTCCTACTTATTTATCCTTAAAGCATTATTAAGTCTTTAAAGAAGTAACTAGAAAGTGCACAAATGAAAAACATGTCAAAGAAGTAATAATTTGGATCAAGTTTTTTATGCAAAGAGTTTTACTGATACCAGGTGAAATGGTCAGTGTAAAGACTGAATTACTATTCTTCATTTTGTACAGATATCTTTGTTACATGTAAGCATTCAATATAAGAAGCTTTAAGAAGAGCCTGTATATAAAAACAGCCTATGGCTCAAGGAGTAGGGCGCTGGCCCCATATACCAGAGGTGGTGGGTTCAAACCCGGCCCCAGCCAAAAAAAAAAAAAAACAGGCTAAAGGGAGTTTAGCAGGCAGGGACATAAAATATATAAAGATAGAATATAGTACAGTT